AGAACCAGAAGCGCAGGAGGACATTGCAGGTGGCGGAGCTGCGTGGAACAGCAGGGGTGCCTCAGACGCCTGGAAAAGGCACTGCAGGTAAAAATGATGGAGGTTGACTCTGTTTTGCCAGAAACGTATGATCGTGGAAATTACATTCCTCATCAAGGTCCTGGTGCCCAACTTTTTTATAGGGATAAATATAAATACCATAAACACCATATTTAATCAACTGTAAATGACACACTTATGCTCTGTTGAATTGAATCTGAGTATACAAAACAGCTAAGCTGGGCAATATGGTAACTGAGTCCCATTCTGTTTAATTTAATGTATACAAAAGATTCCCCGGAGGTTTGCTATTTTGGGGGGCAGGAGGGAGCGGTGGAGAGGATCAGAGAGACTCCCCCTTCCCTCCATATGGAGCCTGTAAAGGCAAGAGGGAGATGTCAGACATCCGAAGCTGAGGGACAGGGTTTGGTGCACCCAGCACCCCCCCTCCCTGCACCTCTAAAAAGAGACCAACCAGGCAGCATCGTTTGTGGGCGTGCCTCAGTGATATTTTTTTTAATGCTTTATTTATTTCTAGGAGAGAGAGACTGCATGAGCAGAGGAGGGTCAGAGAGAGAGGGAGTCACAGACTCTGAAACAGGCTCCAGGCTCTGAGCTGGCAGTCAGCACAGAGCCCGACGCGGGGCCCGAACCCACGAACCTAAGCGAGATCATGACCTAAGCGAAAAGTCGGACACTTGACAGACTAAGCCACCCAGGCGCCCCTCAGTGATTTTGAAGTACGCGTCTATACATCAAGGACCGCCTACACACACACCAGGAGTGGGGGACATTTAAGGGAACTTGGGGTGCTTGAAGTTGGATGAGGGTGATCTGGAATGATCTTTCTGGAGGAGTACATTTTTGAGAAGATAGATACTTGAAGGCAGACGCAGAAAATGGTTAGGTTTTCTGAAAGGTTAGCACCAGGGACGCACAGCACATTTTCATTTGACGTTTGAAATAACTTTTGAAACTCAAGAAGACTTTGTCTCCAAGCACTTATTTCCCACCTCCTATCTACTTCGGTGGCTCTCAAACTACATGTGGAGACTCATTAGCAGGTTACAATAAGACTTGTTTTAAAAAATGAAATAGGATAGGAAGGAATGTATTTCATTAATACTTTTCCCAGTTTCATGTACACATATGTGTGTACTGAGTTATGGCATTCAGTGCATTTCTTACCATGGGTCTTTACCAAATCTTGGCTATTGATTCCCAAGCCTGCAAATAAGACACACGTGGGGTATCTCACATGTTAAGAATAGAGTATTTACTCAAATCCAGCCTTTTTACTTGGCATTACTTCTGTTGACGGTCTTCTTTTCCAATCAGACTCTATTCATTTCTGAACATTTCGTTTCAGCAATGGTTCACAAGGCAAAGAAACTGGGGCTCCATGTATCTGAATCCTGTCCTTTTCTCTTTGTACTGTCTCTGACCCTTCTATTTTCCTTCTTATTTTCTCACAGAGAAGGAAGTCTTTATGGTTTTACTTCCAATATTTAGACTAATTCCAACATAGATCTTAGAGCTCACAGGGCTCTCCAAAACTCATTCCTAAGGTCTGTCCCAGCAGCCACCACCTGGGTCTATTTTTGCTTCCTGAACTCATGCTTCTGAAGCTGTGTGTGCAAAAAAACCACCTGGGGAACTGATTAAAACGTATTTCCTGGATCTCACCTAGTAGGGCTGAAGTGGGGCGCTCTTGAACTGCATTTTTTAGAGCTCCCCAAGTGCTTCTGAGGACTGCCCTTTGAAGAACGCTATTAATAAACCATGGAGAAAGTTCCACTCCTTCCAGAAGCTTTCCCCCATTCACTACTGATTCTGACACCCCCCCCCACTATGTTTCCCTTCTGCAGGAATAGTCTTGGTTTACACCACTTTATGTTTATTTGCAATCATTTGCAGTTCATCTGAGAAGTTACCTTAACTGGGTATCCCGCCTTCCTACTTAAATTATAAACTCCCCCAAGGAACTGTAGCATTCATTACTCTTTGCCCAGAGTGCCCAGCAGAAGACCTTGCTCCTGACTGACTTCTCCTATCAGAATCCTCCCATATATCCGCCTGCCCCTCCCCACCCTTCGCCTCTGGGTGGGGGTCCCCACCTAGGAGTTCTTAGGGCAGGAGTGAGTGTCTGAGTTGTTCCCTGGATCAAGCAGCACTATTGATCGGGTGATTTTGGCTCTGTCTGACTTTGTCCTTTTCATCTCACCTCCATGGGTTCAGGGAGAACTGAATCAGTAAAAACTAATGAGTCCAGATGACCCCCTGGGATTGTAGCTTCATCAACGGCTGTTGTATCCTTCAGGTCTAGAAACACATCGAACAGCAAAGGCAGAGGGCTGAAGAGCGTTCTAGAACTAGAATGAGGCAAGCTAGCACCTCGGATGCCAAATTTAAAGGAAGCACTCACTCTCAGGAGCTGACCTTGCCCTTGCAGGACCCCGAGAGTGGGCACCTTTGTACATTTTGGGTCTGGGTGCTCCCTGGAGAGAGATTAAGTGGTTCTTTCTTCAGGCAGAGGTCAACCTGGTCCATTTTCCTGTCCTGAGGAGCCGCCCTGCATGTTAGCAGCTTGGGGACAATTGACCCTGAGCCCCTGACTCTGTGCCACGAGTGTTCGCTGTTGGGTGTCACTTAGTCCTTAGGAGGCTCTCGGAGGCCGGACTCCCGGCGAGGAGGAGGAGGCCCCTGGTTCCCTCGTGGAAGTCTCCTGGATCTGTTTGATTGTTAGTTTGTTGTTTCCTTCTCCCTCCGTAACTCCCTGCCTCTCACGGAAAGGCGATCCCATGGTCCCCAGGCACCGCTTGTCAAAGAGATTCGAATTTTCACTTTCAGAAAGTTCATCCTTATATTTTGTCCTTACAGCTCCTTCTGCCACGAATCCCGTTTCTTCCCATTTGACACCTTGGGGTTGGTGACGAACAGCCTGTCACTGGGCACCAGCCTCGGTGTGTGGGGACCCCAGGGCCTTTTGGTTCATGAAGACTTTTCCGTGTGCTTTTCTTCAGGCACTACAAACTCCTCTCCTTTGCTGGGGGCTTTCTTTTCTTTTCTGGAAGGAGAAAAATTAGGAGAGGAAAAAGAGAAGTGGGAGGAAGAAGAGAGCTAAGGAAATAAACTCACGGCATGTATCCCTGAGCTGAGGGGGACGGATCTTCCTGATGGGGAGGCCTGAGGGGGCGGCCCCTGGAATACTGGGCTCCTTGCAGGCAAGGACTCACGGCAGAGAATCCAAGAGCTTGGGCCACTTCTGTGGACTTCTGCGCAAGTAGCTCCCGGTCCAAACCCCATCACAGACACAGGTGAGGCAGGAGCCCGGGGCTCACCCTGGATGCTGTGCTCACAGAGGAGTGGACTTTTCAGCCTCCAGACGGGAGGACAAGCCTCAGGACTGGGGTCAGGCACCCAGCCCCTGTCCCTCCCTCCCTCCCCTACAATGTCAGAGATGGTCTGGTCTCCCCACACACTGAGTTGGGTGGCTGGAGTGGATGACTAACGCATGTCATTTTCAAGATGCTCTCTCTCCACAGGAAAGTACATTCAGATCCAGGTTTTAGTTGTGTGTGATTTTAGCTGAGATGGCGTTAATTTATTTCCTTTGCTACTTCAGCGGTTCTTCCTCTTTCATCACGGTGAAATTATCTGGAATGTATCTTTTTTTTTTTTTTCCTTTCTTAAGGACAAAGAGAAGAAGCTGATCTGGCTCCTTTTCCACTGATTGAGGTTTACAACATTCTAGGGGCTGCCAGATTGATGTTTGGGGGTGCTTCGGGTTGGAAACCCTATCGTCTCCCACTACTGGTCTCCCTGCCTTCCAACTGTCAGAGTTCCTTTTTTTCTTTTTTTCTTTTTTTAAAATATTTTTATTTCTTTCTAGGAGAGAGAGAGAGAGACAGCGTGAGCAGAGGAGGGCCAGAGAGAGAGAGGGAGATACAGACTTTGAAATAGGCTCCAGGCTCTGAGCTGGCAGTCAGCACAGAGCCCGACGCGAGGCTCCACGAACCGTGAGATCATGATCTAAGCAAAAGTCGGACGCTTAACTGACTAAGCCACCCGGGCGCCCCCAGAGTTCCTGAAGAGAATGCTTGAAGAGCAGGACCTGTACTCCCCAGGGGGCCCCTCTGACCAATTCACTAACAGTGAATTTTTTGGCCATGGCTGACTCCAGTCAGTTTCCAGAACGAGAACTACTTTATTCCTTGGACAACCTTTAAATGTTTTGTTTTGTTTTGTTTTGTTTTGTTTTGTTTTGTTTTGTTTTGTTTATTTATTTCTAGGAGAGAGAGAGCGAGCGAGACAGCGTGAGCAGGGGAGGGTCAGAGAGAGAGGGAGTCACAGACTGAAACAGGCTCCAGGCTCTGAGCTGGCAGTCAGCACAGAGCCCGACTCAGGGCTCGAACCCACAAACTGCGAGATCATGACCTAAGCGAAAGTCGGACGCTTAACCGACCAAGCCACCCAGGCACCCCTCCTTGGACAACCTTTAGAAAAAAGGGGAACCACCTGACATCTACAGAGGGCTTCTTGGAGGAAAAGGACAGTATTAATCAAAGAAAGATGGGACAGGAGGCACCTGATGCTCCGAAACTCCTGCTTTCTACCTTTGGTTGAGAGAGGGTCTCTTGTGTAAGAAGGGGGTAGGGCCGGGGCAAAGAGAGCAACCGCCTGCTACAGCGTTGTAGGGTCGGTTTTTGTTTTCACTCAAACTCTCTTTGTGATGAGCATAAAAATTGCACACACACCTTCAGAGATTCTGCTGTGTCTTGTCCCAGAACTTGGCCCTCTTTGAGAATTATCTGTGTAGGTGCTCTAAGACCATTTTATTAAAGCCTGACTTACTCTGGTTTTTGCTATAAAAATAAAAGAAATGTTTATTTTCCAAATAATTACGGTATCATTTTGAATATGCTTTTCAATCTCTGCTTAAGTTCCAGTTTGGAGGTTAGGCTCCCCTGCCCCTCCCTGTTGGAGAATCACTGAATCATTGCCAGCTACCTAGCACAGGAAATCACAAGAGCATTGATCGCGTCTGCCTGGGACTATTCTAGGACACTTTCGTCTCTTGTCCTCCGCATCCTGTGAAATCAGTGTCTTCCTTGGTCATTCTGGCACATAGTAGGAAATTCAGTAAGTATCTGTTGCATGAATCTTATAGTATGAAATTATTATCTAGAGGGGCGCCTGGGTGGCTCAGTCAGTTGAGCGTCTAAACTTCAGCTCAGGTCATGATCTCGAAGTTTGTGAGTTAAAGCCTCCCATCGGGCTCTGTACTGACAGCTCGGAGCCTGGAGCCTGCTTCGGATCCTGTGTCTCCCTCTCTCTGCCCCTCCCCTGCTTGCTCTCTGTCTCTCGCTCTCAAATAAATAAATAAATAAATAAATAAATAAATATTAAAAAGATTCCAATCTAGTGCTTGGCACAGTATACTGGTGCCTGACAAAGTGTTCAGTGAGTGTCAGCCATTGTTCCTTAGCCACATGTTCTAGAGTCTGCCCGTTTCAGAAGCTCCAGCTGGTGGACCTGGTCGTTTTCTTAGTGCCCCGGGACTGCCCTCAGCAGCATCTTGTTCTGTAGAACTCAGGTTTCACCTTCAGATGCTTGCTACTTGTTCAGATACCAGCTTCTTTTTGGCATAAGCAGAAGCCTAGCACAGTGCTATGCACAGAGTAGGGCTTCAGCTAATGTCTGTTGAGAGAGAGACTGAATGGTCCCAGGGCCCTCCACTTGGCGGCCCCTGTGGTCAGGTGAGGCTGCACCTGGACCACACAACTCCTTGGTGGACGATTAAGCTCTCTGATTGTGCTCTTTGTGTACAGGGCCCTGACTTTTACCAGCACATGATGGTGGCTTGAAAATCATTCCGGTCAATCCATCTTTCTAGCGTGGTTAAGTGGTTTATTGGAGGCCAGTACCACTCTGCTATTCACAGTTTGTTTCTGAGTTCTCCCTGGATTGCTTTGAATAGCTTTGGTGCTCAGACAGCATTTCCTTCCAGTTGCCTGTGGCCATTTCACGGAGGGTCCCCTGCAACCTTCGTCTTTATAGAGAAATACGCGTACATTCCCTTCCCAGCCTGCTGTTCCAGGCTGTGTCTATCTGTCCATTTGCCCCCAACTGCTGTTCCTTAAAAACTAAGCATATACTTACTATGTGATCCTGCACTCCCTTAGCTGGACATGTGTCCCAATGAAATAAAAGCTTGTGTCCACTTAAAATCTTGTACATAAGCACTCGTAGTAGTTTTATTTGCAATAGCCCTGAATTAGAAACAGCCCCAATGTCCTTCACTGGGTGACTGATCAGACAAACTGTGGTTCATCCAAGCCACCAAAATACGACCCGGCAACAAAAAAAGGGAATGAACTATCGATACATGCAGCAGTCTGGATGGATCTCAAGGGCATTCTGTTGAGTGAAAAGAGCCAATTTCAAAAGGTCACATACTGCATGATTCCATTTATATGACATTCTCAAAGTGACAAAATTATACAGATGGAGAACACATTAGTGGTTGCCAGAGTTTGGGGTGGTTAAAAAGGAGAACAGAGTGCGGTGTGATTATAAAGGGCCAGCGTGAGGGATCTTGTTCCATACCTTGATCATAGTGGGGGTTATGGGACTGTACACATGTGATAAAATTGCATAGAACCACATGCATGTGCGTGTATGAGTGCACGTGAAAACTTTGAAATCTGCACAAGGTCTGTGGATGGTACCAGGGTTCATTTCCTGGTTTTTGTTTTTGTTACAAAGAAAGAAGCTGCAGCTTTTGTTACCGCTGTTTGTCAGCCCTGGTCTCCCTGTGATCTCGGGCATGACGCTCAGGACAGGTTTGGAAGGGCCAGATCCTCTGGGCGTTCTCCAATATTAGGAGCATAGCTGAAATGCTTTAGTTCTTCTTCTAACCCACAATGAAGCCATTTTCCCAGAATCATCATAATCTCGTCTGGGAGCTCTATGCATTTCCAGCCTCTGCCTCCTCTTGGGGTATTGTATTCTAAGTGGATTATCTACCCTGTGCAGTAGGACTATAAACTTATTTTGTTTATTTGATTATCCTAAGCCTAATCAGCTTCATCTTCAAGTTTAAGGAAGATCCTGAATTCAATTACCCTAGGACTTGCAGGTATACTGTGGCTTTATTTTGGGGCCGAGTCTCTGAACTCATGATGTGTTCCTGGTGATCTGAGGTCACGAGTGTCATGGGATACATAGTGTTCCCTGCCCTGGGGGTGTCCAGGATGGGGGGTGGGGTGGGGCTGAAAGAACCATTCTAAGGCCTGATTCCTTTAGCCTCCATCACTCCCTTCCAAGTGCACAACTGCAAGACCTCTGCTCTCTCTCCCCTCCCAAACCTCTACAATTCATCTCCCTAGTGCTCGTCTAGGTCCTCCCCCACCTTTTGCATCCTGATCTTCTGGGGCTCCCAGGATGGCAAGCAATCAGGTAAGAGTATATCTCCCCTCTCTTCCCATCTCCTTAGAAACAGACTAGACTTGCCTGGACAGAGCCCCTCCTTCTGTGGATGAAGACTTTGAGACCCTGCAGTGGCTATTGGCAGAGCTGATGGACAGCCCACCACGGTACTTCACGCAACCCTTCTTGGAGAACGAGTTCCATACATTAATTTCGGGTTGGCAGCTCCGGTTTGGTAACTGGGGAGTTTGGGTGACAATAGACGTCGGACTTCATCTAAGCTGTCCTGGCAGTAACTTAGATCCAGCACTGCTCTGTGCCCCCACCCACTACTTCCTCTGGGACCAGATCTTTAAAAGGGGCTGAAGGGGTGGGGAAAGGTCAGGAAAAGGAGATGCTTCTGGCTCTCCTCGGGGCTCCTTTCCTTTTTGGAGTACCAGGTTTACACTCTGAAGGATCAGCTCCTTCTGAGCGTCTGAGGGTGTGGGCATTTGGAGTGCTGTTGGGCAGACTGGACCGCACCCCCCAATTGGTTAAACAAGCACCCTCCCTGACACACCCAAACACACATGCACATGCAAGCATGAGCATGCACACACATGCACACATGTATATACACACATACCAGGGGATTTAGGCATCCTTCTTCCTGACTTCCAGTATGGAGAATGATTAAAGACACAAAAGTTAAGACTCATATGACCTGGTGTGAATTTCAACTCCACCACTTCCTGGGCATGTGACCTAAGCAAGTCTTGTGCATACTCTCAGCCTCCATTTTGTCATCTCTAAATAAGAGTAATAAATACCATCTCCTGTGCGTGGTTGACCAGAGGCCATGCCTTGACATCTCTCACTGCGGAAGAGGCCATTTGAGGCCTTCTACATCTAACGGAGCACTTGATGTGTTTGAGGCCCACCAGAGAGGAGAGGCTGTCAGAAACAGCCAGATCCCCCTCTCGCCTTCCTCCCCGAAGTTCATTGGGAGGGTCCAGAGTGGGGCCAACTCCCTCCCCGGGATCCCTTACATCCGCCCCTCAGCTGCCTTCCTCATGTGCTCTCACCCGGACTCCCTCCCAGAATCATGCCGATTCCTCTCACATATGTATCTGTATCTGCCACCTGCCTGCCCCGGGCCCTACCCAGAAGAGACAAGAAGGGGGCCCCAAAGCCGTCATCATTTCACAGAAGACACAATTCCCCACAGGAGAACAGCAGCATATAGTCAAGTGCTAATCCAGGGGCCATCAGTTATGGACCCTGAGGGCTGTGGGCAAGCAAAGCGATGGCTGGACTGTCCCCTGGGGAGAGCAGGGGCCTGGGGTGATGACATTATCACCCCCTTCTTTCTGCCAAACATCATCCTCAGGCCCGGTCCTCCCGGCACCAGGTCGCTGCTGGCCAGGAAGCTGCATAAAGGGCTGGAGAGCAGCTTCCACGCAGGCTCAGCCTAGAGGCAGTGAGGTTGGGGCCTGTCCTCATTTCTCTGCAGGGAGCCTGGGAGCTCTCACCAAGGTGTCCTAGGGCAGCCAGCCAGCCCGAGGGAGTCACTTGGGAGGGTCTGTCACAGCAGACCTGGGCTCCTCAGCTCCTTAGAGGCCCTGACCCAGCAGATAGGCTGGGAGGGCCCAGGCAGAGGAGACATAGTTCCTTTGGCTACTTTATTTCTTTGGTTTGTGGCTGTTTGACAACAGCAGTAAAAACAGCTTATAAATTAGGTGGCCGGCTGTAAACCGCAGAAAGGGCCATGGTGCAGGGAAGCTCAGGAGCCTCCCTCCGTGTCTCCCCCTGCTCTCCCCAGGCAGGCCCGCACCCCACCCTCTGCCAGCAACCCCAGGCCTGAGGCGGGGGGGCCGGGAGCGCTGGCATCTCTGACCTCCAGCACTTTCCCTGATCGCAGAACAGCCAGGGAGCTTCTGTAGGCTCCTCGGGGGCTCTTCAAACGGAGAGATGTTTATATCTTTTCGGCGCCGTCCAAATTACAAGCAGGAAACTGGAGCCTGGGGAACATAAACCAGGGGATACAAGGTAGGGATTTTTTTTTTTTTTAAGCTTGATTTAAATCAACCTCCAGAAGATCTCAAATGAGGCCAGCGGGGAGGAAGAGCTGCAAGAAGGGGCCCGGCTATACGTTCAGTATGACCTGAATATGTGTCCTCTGTTTCCCCCTTTGTGCCAGCCATGGCTTCTCTCTCCCAGCTGGTTCAGGAGGCCAGTTCTTTTCATGGAAGGACCCAACAGAGCTGAGGAGGGGTGCCCGTGCAGCTGTGTGGCTGTGCCAGGACAGGCCTGGCTTTCTGGGCCCAGCCCTCTACAGAAGCGCCTCCTCTCTACTCTGGCCCCTTGCCCTGTCCCCTTCCTGCTCCAGACCCAAGGGAGCTTCAGGACTTGGGTCAGAGCCTATGGGGTCTAAGCATCCCTGCCAAGGAGTGCAGTTGCAGACCGTACAGGGAGCAGGCTCAGGACGTATGTACCCACCAGAGCTTAGCCTGAGAGTTACTTCCCGAACACAACACAGCTGTTTGGACCCAGCACCCCTGCTGATGCGGCTCTGCTCTTTCCATCCCCGCCCCCACCCCCCATGGCTGTGTAAAGCTCCCGCAGCTGACTGATTCCTCTGCATTTGTTTGTTTTCTTTGCTTGTGACAAGTCATTGTGTGTGTGTATCCTGCCCACATGCACAGAGCTTGGAGCGCAGGAAGGAGGGCTTCTCCCTCTTCTAGATCAGGGTTTCTGCTCTGGGAGCAGGCCTGGCAGCAAGGAGGTCACTACTCGGGGAGAGGGCACCCAGGGCACCGAGGGAGAGGGCACCTGGGCAATGTGAATGTGGGCGCATACATTGACATTGACATGCAGGTCACAAATCTTGTGGGTTCTTTCAGGGGTTTTAGTTTGTTCCTTATTATCTCATCTTGTAGAGCGGCTGCCTCCACACATCCCATCCTGGCCCCAGCCCAGAGGGGAGAGTTCCCTGGGTGGTATTAGGCCAATGTTGACCAATGAGCTACAAAGCAATGTGCCATCTCTTTTTGAAAAAGCAGACATTGCTGACCTGCTGGAAACATCTGAGAAGTACTCTGTCAGATCTAATAAGCTGTGTGACCTTGGGCAAGTCACTTAACCTCTCTGAATTTAGAGCTTATTATCTTGGGAGTTTTAGGAAAGTGATCCTCATGAAACTGCTGTGTGGAGCAAGTGAGATATTAGATGAGAGAGAGCTCTGAAAAGCCAGAGTGCTCTAGAATGTCTAGAATTTGGTAACAACCGCAACAACCCTATGAGCCACAAGTGTGAACTGGTAAATACCAGGAGGAAGCCAAGTACTCCAGTCCACTGAGTGTGCGGGCTCAGTAACTGGTGCTTGCTGGACAGATCTTCTCTCTTTTCTGTCTGTGTGTGTGCATTCAGTCATTTTACACACACACACACACACACACACACACACACACACACACGCAATTCCACATGCTGTTGATTGATCCTTGACACCCAACCCCAGGCACTCGGGGCACCCAGAATCCATGTTTCCCCACAGTGTGGGGGCCCTAGACTGGGAGTAAAGGCTTTTGGGATGACAACCCCACTCATTACCCCCACAGCCCACACCCTAGGATCCAGGAGACACTTGGGTGACTCTGGATATAAATCTGGATCCACTGTGGGGGGCGGGCTCCTCCAGGGCCAACAGTTCCTCGGGGACACTCTTCGGCTGGCCTATGCCTAACGTAGCCACCCCAGTTGGGGAGAGGCTTGGTGAGTAGTTCCTCCAAAGATAGGGTCTGTAAGCTTCAGGAATTCTGTTTATGGGCGGTTAGTAATGGCTCCTATCTCACCAGGTGGGTTTATGGCTTAAGCAGAATGGGAATCAAAGGGCCTTCTTTATTACTAAACTTTAGAGTTTTTTATGTTTATTTGTTTTTGAGACAAAGACAGAGTACAAGTAGGAGGGGCAGAGAGAGAGAGGGAGACGCAGAATTCGAAGCAAGCTTCAGGCTCTGAGCTGTCAGTGCAGAGCCTGATGCAGGGCTCAAACTCATGAACCATGAGATCATGACCTGAGCCAAGGTCGGACGCTTAACTGACTGAGCCATCCAGGTGCCTCTGAACTTTAGTTTCAGTTCTGGAGAAAGTCTTCCCAACCGGCGTGTCCACACCACACATTTGGGCCAACCCACGTCCTCCCTCCCAGCCCCAGATCTTGGCCCATCCAGCACACCGGCCTGGCATGTGTGTTCCAGCCACTCTGGGAACTCTCCAGAACAGGGACCCCGGCCTCCTCCCTGCTTCCTTGGTACATCAGTACAGGACTCCATCTGCGGGGCTTTTGGGCGGCTTCAACAAATGCAGAATACCTAGGATTCCTGAGGGGGTTGGACCCAAGAGGAACCACACTTGGGAAAGCTCCAGTTTCCCCATGGGTCTAGAATCACAATGAGCTGCAGTGTGACATGCCAGATGGGCCTGGGGTGTGGCCCCTCTCTCCTTCCTTGTCTCCTGCCATCAGGGAAGGAGAGCGTTGGGTTGGGGTGCCGGCTGTGAGTGCCAGGGTTGCGTGGGTGACCTATATCCCCATGGTAATGCCTCTCGGGATGTCTGCTGTGGTTCTACTGTGGCAGAAAGCAAAAAGCCTGCCGCTAAAGCCTTCCTCCCTGCTGTCCCCAGCGCCGTATTTTTCCACCTACTCCTCTGGCTTTGGTATCGATTTAAATAGGGAAGGCAGGTGGGGTGGGGGGAGGACCTGGGGAACCAGAGGCAGACAGAAGAGAGAAGGGGAGAGGAAGAGGAGCCAAAAGCATGGTGGGTGGGCAGAGAGGAAGGGCAGCCAGGAAGAGAAGAGCTAAAAGGGAAGTCGAGCAGACAACAGGGGAGCCAGAGGATAAAAAGGAAGGGAGTCAAGGTGGGGAATGCAGCTTCCCTAGTGGCCAGTGGAGACCTCTCCCAGACCACCCCTCCCCCAGCCAGCTGGAGGGAACTGCCTTCCTGGGATCCCTGTGGAGCCCAGCACCCCATCCCAGGGAGAATTCAGCAGGGCCGGGCCTCACCAGGGTCCTGGTCCTGGCAATGAGCTCCTGCAGCTTTGTGGGATATATGTGGGCAGAGCTGTGCCACCTTCTTGCCCTCCTGACAGGTAACCCCCCTGCCCCCCACAGCCCCACCGGTACCCGTGCACAAACTGTGTGCATAATCATTAGATCCATTGCTATTAGATCAAGGCCCTTTGCATCCGGGGTTTTCCTCTGCTCCAAGGGAGAGGTGAGCTCTGAAAGGATCCCCCATTCCTGCTCCTGGTGGGGGGCCCTGGGCCATGCTGGGAGCAAGCTCTTTGGGGGTGATTCCCATATCCCAGGCTCTGCTGTCCCCCTTTCCTTTCTGTCCTGGGGCTTTGGTTTAGAAAAAGACTCACACACTGGTGTTTACGGGCACAGTTGGATTTGCCTGTGTTGCCATGACAACAGTGAGGGCTGCCCCTGTTTTCTTTCCACCCCATACTCTGCTCCTTTCACAGGCTAAAAACCTCTCTCTGTCTCTGTCTCTCGGTCTTTCTCAATTCCCCCCCCCCACCATTATTCCTCATCTCCACGGGACTTAAATCTCCCTCCCCTGTCTGTCCCTCTGGAAGGGGTAAGGCTGTGCGCATTTCTCCTCAGTCCTTCTGAGATGGTAGGTTCCCAAGATCTGGTCGCAGCCACTGACGGGAGTGGTGATGCACGTGGTAACTGGGAGCAGAGGGGTCAAGGGCCCTGGGCCAGGATCCTGGGAATGATTAAGCCTTAGGTTTCTGAGTACCCCCCACAACACACCCCATCCCTGTCCCTGGGGCATCTGAAAGGAGCTCTCAGTCTCCTCTGCCCCTCCAAGACCCGTTGGCCTCTGATTTCCAATGCACCATGAAGATTCACCACCCCCCTAAGTCTTCCCTAACTCCACCTGCCCTCAAGTGCCAGGATAAGCAGTTAAGTGCACTCTGGAATATTGATTTGCACTTGCTTCTGGCGTACGTGTCCACAGCTATGTTCTGGGCTAGACGTGTGGGTCCAGCCTCCTCAGCAGCCTGGGGCAGTAACTTTGTGTGTCCAGCACAACTTGCTACCCTACCCCCACCCTTGTACCAGAACTCTTTCTTATGCAAATCCATTCTGTGCAGATTGGTCCAGCTCACTAGCCTGTCCCTCCTTCACCCTGCCCCATCTGCCCAAGGTTGGGGGATGTGGAGGGGACCCTAGTCAGGCCACACAGTACCTTCTCTGACACCTGATCTTAGGACATGGGCTCTTCCTCTGGACTGTGATCTTTTGGGCAATTTCTCCTTGGGCTTCCAGGGCCGCTCTTCCCACCACATGGAAAGGGACCTGTCAACGGAAGAAAGCAGTGTCATGACTAGTATATTTATCCATCATTCTGGGAACTTCTTGAGGGCAAGGGATGTGTCACATCTACCATATTGGAACACCCCAGGGGTGGGAGCGGGGTTCCCCCATCAAACTGGGAGCTCCTCAGAGCAGGAGTGGTACTTCAGTAGATTAGGTGTTAAAGTCTTGGTAGTTTAATTGGTAAAGTATCAGGCATTTAGAGGTCATCATCCAGGTTTAATTCTTTACTTGAATAACTTCATAAAAGTTTCATCCGAGTGTAAACTCTACCTGGGTAGCATCTGTCTTGTTCACCATGCAGGGTGCTGTGTCTAGAGAGAAGGAAAGGCAGGATGACCTCTGCCCTCAGGGATTTGGCAGAACTTCTATGGGCTCTGACAAAAGTACATATAGTGTCCAACAGGGGGCACTTGGAGAAGTGGCAATGGCCTCTGAGGGCAGGTCTGGCATGGACATTTGTCGTCTGGGCTGGTGGAGAACAGCATTGCAGACCAGGGTAGCAGCCTTGGCTCCCACAAAGTGGGAAGCAACCTTTGGCCTAGGAGCTGCACTTGGGTACAAGACGTAGCAGAGAAGACCCTCCCTTTCTTTCTCCTTGACCCTCCCTTGCCGCAGGCCTTCAGGGAATCCTCCTGAGCTGGTTGGACATCCTTCAGGGCGGGGCAAGGTAAAGATGCTGCGCCACACACCATGCTCCCAGTGACCACCGTCCTTAGCCCTCACCCTCAGGTTACCATTAAAACTCATTGTTGCAAGTCCCAGTAACCAACTCTCTCTATCGGAAGCATGAATAAAATATGAAATTTTCCCAACATAACTGGTGTGATGTGCTTTATCAGCTCAGGGTACAAATCAGGTCCGATGTTTTTGATCCTTAAGTTAATCCTTTAAGCATCCATCTGCCCCATTTAGCGAGAAGCCCAGTATCTTGGTGTTCCTCTCTTCTTCCCCAACTCCTGTGTCTGTACTTGCTAGAAGCCTCCCAGCACTTGAGGGCTGGGAAGGGGCCTGCGAGCAGATACTGGAGGGCCTGACCAGCCCAAGCTCCTGTCCCCACTAATGACACAATGGTCGACATTGGTCGCACACAGTGTGCTGATCAGATTCCGGCAGAGACCCACCTAGGAGGGTTCCAGTCTTGGGCCCCAGACATACTACACATGAATGTATGTCTACTCACAGGATCAGTCATTGTCTCCAGA